AAAAAAAAACACACACACACACTTGACAATTCACTTTGCTTGTTTTTGGTTTTCCAAAAACACTTTTTAGAAAATTCTACTTTCTTGATTTTAGTTTTTTCTGAATTTTTTTAATATATGAAGTGTTTTTGTTTTTATTTTTATTTTTAGACACACCTAATATAAATATACATAAAAAGTATAATTTTTTGACAAAAATCTTTTAAAAATTTACTAAATACCAAAAGTACAAAAAAAATATGAAAATTCAATATATTTTTCATATTTTATGTATTTATTAATTTTTTAAAATATTTTTTCACAAATTTTTTACTTTTTAGATACATTTAAGTAAAGTGCATTTAAAAAAGTATAAAAAAATACTTATAATTTTAAAAATATTCACTAAAAATTAAAAAAAAATAACACGAAAAATAAAAAAAATTTAATTTTAAAAAAAACTTAATCCAAACACACACATTTACGTTTTCTAAAATGTGTAAACAATTTTCAAAATTTACAAAAGTGTAAAAACATAAAACTTTTGTTTTAAATTGTTTTGAAATTAAGTTTTCACTTACTCTAAACCATATTATTACTGACAATCACTTTCGACCACTCCCTCTAGGGGTGTAAATCTGGCCCGGCCTGGTCCACTTGGGCTCAGACTGAGCCAGGCCCATGACGTGTCTTGTGAGCTCCCGCCAAAATTCGAGCAAGGCCGGGCCGGCCCACGAACTAAAAAATTAAGTCTAGGCCCAAGCCTAAGCCTAGGGGTATTCATGCCTTGGATGGGCCTAATCAATTTTTTTTTATTTTTAAATTTTTTTCTGCCAAAAATTTATTATGTTTCATTAAAAAATACATTAGGCCATGGGTGGCCCAAGTAGGCTGGGTTTCGGACTGGGCCTTAAGCGAGCCGAGGGACTGGGGCCAAACAGGTTGGGCTCATGGGTCGGGTCGGGCTTCAAAACAATGGTCCAGGCCTTAGCCCAAGGGCTCGGGCCTGGGCCCAAGTAGGCCTAAACAAGTCGGGCCCATCTCGGGTCGTAGGCGGGCATCGGGCCACCCACGGACCGCGGGCCATTTTTACACCCCTAACTCCCTCATCCATAATCCATCCTCTCCAGCAACCTCTCACCCTCTAAGGGCATCCACAATGGGATGGCTAAAAAAGTGTATTAAGGTGTGTGTTATATGACAAAAAGTAATAAAAGTGGGGCCCAAAAATGTTTGTTAAGATGTGTTAAGAGTTTGTTAATTTTAGAGAGTGAGTGATGGTGCAATAGATGTGTTAAACAGTGTGTTAAGGTGTGTGTTAAATATATATAGATAAAATAAATAAATAATTTAGTTTAATAAAAAATTTCAAACCCAAAATTAAATTTCAAGTCCAAAAAAAAAAAGCCCCAAAAAAAAAAAAAAAAAAAATTTGCCGTTGACCGGTCAACTGGCCGGTCAACCCGTAAGACAAAAAAACACTTCCCTTCCCAGCTAGAACGCTCACTGCAACGCTCTCCGCAGATAACAAACAAGTTAACAACTGACCCTAATACACACCACTAACACACACGTTAACACGTCCATTGTGAAATCCAAACGTTACTGTAGCTAGTTAAACTTTGGCCACTGACACTAACACCATCACTAACACGTCCATTGTGGATGCTCTAACACCCTGAATCTAGGGACGCCTTCCAACAACTTATCATATTTTTTTTATAATAAAATTTTATTTTTTTATTTTTTTGCATATATGAAAAAAAAAAAAAGGCCTTACCAAATCCTAACTAGCTAAAATATTAGATTGCATTCAAGTACCATCTTTAAAATAAAATAAAATTGTATTCAACTATCTATCCTAAGATTTTTGTTGACGAAATCAACAAGACCAAACTCAAAATAGTTATTCTTAATCCACGAAGTTCCGTTGTATCTTCTACTACGAAACATAATTTTTATTTTCATTTTCATAATAAATTGTAAACTTAACGAATGACACCGTAGTAACAATTTCGCTACCCAAAATTTAATGAAAAACTGTTCAATATTTGGAAACATCTTGGTTTCTTTCCCTTTTTGTTTTCAAAAAAAACGAGAACTGTAAACAAAAAACATGTTTGACAACTATTTACATTTTTCACCATCAAAAAAATAAAAAATAAAAAATTTACATTTTCAATAAAGTGTAAACAATTTTCAAAATTTACAAAAGTTTAAAAATATAGAAATTGAATTTTCATTTGTTTTGAAATCAAATTTTCATTCACTCCTCTATTTCCTACATTATCTACTTTCGATCACCCTCTATCCACCGTCCACCCTTTGACAATTCCCACCCTCTTGGCATGTTTGTTTGAGTGGAAATAGCCTTGGAATTAGACTAGTAATCTAACAAAAATACATAATTTGATATTTAACTAAGAAATTCAAGGTTCGAACTACTAGTTTATCCGGACATCTTATCTCTCATACGAGGGAATTAAATCTCAAGAGGTGATATGATATAAAATGGAGGATTAGTGAGAGGTTTAGACTAATTAGTTAATTGTAAACTTGATAGAATTTTGTTAGTCCCCTCCTTTGTAATTCTAAATTATTCTGACATGAAATATGATATACAATCCAAAATGATTGATGATCAAGATTAACAATATTTGAAATGCTAATCACATCTAATCTTGTCTAGTTCATCCAAACAAATATGCTCTTTGAGTACTCTTTCTAGTAACTCACCAAAACGTGTTTATTTTTTTATGTTTATTATTAATTTTAGGAATATTTACATACAAGTTTTAATTTATGAACCTATACTCTATTAAGTCCTAATTAAGATTTTTGGAACCTTCAAGTCCCATTAAAATTTTAATAGTCGAAATTATCCTTCAAATAATGATTGTTCATCATTTATGATTATTTATAAAAGAACATGATGATTTGACATTTATTTTAATTTTAAAAACTTTCAAATATCAACTTTCAAATTGAAAAAATTAAAAAAAAATTATGTGCAAAAAAAAGTTTTTTGAAAATTGAGTTTTTTATTTTTGTTTTTAGTGAATATTTTTTAAATTTTAAGCAATTTTTTTACTGTTTTAGATGCATCTTACTTAGATGTATCTAAATAATAAAATATTTGTGGAAAAATATTTTAAAAAATTAATAAATACACAAAAATACGAAAAATATACTGAATTTTCATATATTTTTTTTGGTTGTATTTTTTGGTATTTAGTGCATTTTTTAAAGTTTTTTTTTTCTTTTTTAAAAATATTATACTTTTTAAGTGTATTTATATTAGATGTGTCTAAAAATTAAAAAAATTGCTTAAAAATTTTAAAAAAAAAATCATTGAAACATTAAAATACAGAAAATAAAAAAGTAGAATTTTCTAAATCCAGAACCAAACAAAGTGAATGTTTTTTTTTTCTTTGAAAATTTTGAAAAAACTAAATTATTTTTGTACAAAACTGAAAATTTTGTGTCTGTAAAAGAACATAATGATAGAATATTGATTTGTAAAACTGAAAATAAATAAATAACTTTAAAAATGATATCAATTTTAAAACTAGAAAAATTGATAATATTCCCGCTTTTATTGGATAGTTAAATCAAACCAATAAGTAGAAAAGCAAAAAACGTTTAATATCATGCTCTATTTTTTTCATCAGTTAGTGAAACGATTATCTAGAATATCACTATGCAAAATTGATAATGTTCTTAGTTTTAAAAATTAGGGAAAAAATTGATAATATTCTTAGTTTTATTAAATATGACTTATTAGTTCAAAAAATCTTAAATATGACTTGAGTTATTATAACCTTTGTAAATAGAACTTTTAGATAATTAACTCTTAATTTTAATTACAAAAATTAACATAAATAAATATATATATATATATATATATTTAACAACAATGCTAGGTGGCTCCAAATTTCATGGCTCGAATTGCTCGAAACGACGTCGTTTTGAATGTCAAAACGACGTCGTTTTGACACATTCGATCCATTCGAGCCACGCAAATTTTGGCTATCAACCATTTTTTTAAAAAAAAAAAACCAAACCCTACCTAGTACCTACCTAAAGTTCATTGTCCCTACTTCCATGTCTTGGATTGTATTCAAAGTATAAAGTCTATCCTAAGATTTGGTTGACGAAATCAATAAGGCAGTTATAATCCACAAAGTTACGACACATGTTCTGCCTAACAGATTTGTTCTAGCAATCCTCGCAATGATATTTATTATATTAATTTTCACAACACATAATCCTAATCTAAATAGTAGACGTTCTAAATCCCCACAACATTAAAGTCAGCCGCGAAAAGATTTTGTGATTTTGTTTTCATTTTCCGTACGTAAGTTTGAAAACAACATTTAAAACATATTTAATTGTGGGGTCATAAGTTTTTTTTTTTAATGCACGGATGTCCGGTTCAACTTACGTGCATTTCGATTAATTTTGAGATTCGTGTAAAATGTGCCTCTATATGAATTAGGCAAATTTTGAACAGGATTCGCGGATGTGACTCTAAAGAATTGATAGCACTGTGAGAATTAGGTAAATTTTGAATCGGATAAATAAGTATGATCCCAAAGAGTTGATAGTACCAATGAGAGTTGAACATATAGAGAGAGCACACCCCCAAGTTCTTTTAGGTTGAGGTCCTAAGATATTGATGAATAATGTGAAACTTTAATTGTTTTTTTTTTAAGTATTGAACGAAGATTTTGATGGGTTTTCATTGAATTTAATTTTACATGTTTGGACCATAGTGATTTGTATTTTGTGTCCAATTGTTCTCTTGAATTATCTGAACAAATCAACCAATATACTCCATATACTCTTCTCCTAAAGAAGTTGCCAATGGAACTGGAGAAGCTTGTAGTAAATCTATGAGACAATGATGCCGGGATCTACTTATCTTCTCTCTCCTCCCAATCCTATATTTTCCATGATTGTATCTATATATACACTCTATCAGAATTGTTTGTTCCATGAATCTCCAACCCTTAACCGCCATGGAAGTGATGATGCTTGGGCAAGAGCTTAATCAATCATGGTCATACCTCAAAACTATTGATTCATATTTTGATGAAGGTGGTTTTCATGGTTTTGAAATGGATACTGATATAGGGAATTGCCAGTTTTCTTCATTGTTCCTCTCAACCACCGAGGATTCCTCTGAAGTTTTCGCTTCTGTTCCTTACATCTCATCCGCGAACTATGATGAGTCCCATAGTTACCCCTGTTGGAATGAGGGTTTCCAAGCCCTATCCCCAATTCAACAGTGTTTGATAAATTTGGAAGAGTCCAGTATTACTTCGGACGAAAATATGGCATTTGATGAGGTTGACGGCCTAATTTGCAGCTGGATAGGAAGCGAGAGCGGTCCACAATCACAAGAATTAGACAAAGTGATACAAATCGGGCCATCATCAATTGATGTCGAATCAGTCCACAAACCATTGTTCTTTCCCAAGGAAGATATGGAGCTGGACAACCAATTGAGCATTCTTCATTTGCTCAAGGCGTGTGGAGAGGCAATGGAGAATCAACAAAAAGAGCTTGTGGAGGTAATTTTGAAGCGATTAGATGAGAAGGCTTGTCCAAAAGGCATAGCTCTTCAACGCTTGGCGTATTACTTGATCCGATCATTGGATCAACATTTAGACTACTTGACACAAGAAGCGAGCAAGAACTATGCAGCGGCGTTTAGGGCTTTCTATCAGATTTTCCCTTATGGTAGATTCGCTCACTTCACCGCCAATACGTTGATACTAGGAGCTGTACCTGAGGACGCGGAGGTAATTCATGTTGTGGACTTTGATATGGGTGAAGGAGTGCAATGGCCTCCCTTGATTGAGGCGCTTGGAAGGCAACGTCAACGGGCTATGCGAATAATATCAGTTAAATGTGAGGACTCCAATGGTGTGAATGTGCACTTTGAGAAGGCAAAGGCACTGCTTTTTGAGCACGCCTTTTCTTCAGGTTTGAAGTTGAAGGTCGAGGAGATGGACATGGAAGGCTTGTCAACCGAGATGAAGAACATCAAGAAAAAGTGTGGAGTAAGAGAATGGTTAGCCTTCAATTGTATGGTCGGTCTCCCCCACATGGGGAGGCAGAGGAGTTCTAGGCAAGTGACCGAGTTTCTAAAGATAGCTCAAGAATCAATCAACACCGGTAAGAAAGATAGGGGCATTGTAACATTTGGGGATGGGCATGGAGCAGAGGAGGAGACAATGATGAGTGAATTTCACGGTTTTGGTTCTTTCTTCGAAGGCCAATTGGGGCATGTCACGGCCTTGCTCGAGTCAATGGAGTGGCATATGCCTGTGCACCTTAAAGAAGCAAGAATAGCCATGGAGTGTCTATTTGTGGCACCCTATGTTTCTTCTCTTGCTTGCTTTGAGAAGTTTGAGGAGAGAGAATGGAGAGGTGGGCTTGTCCCAAGGATGGGATTGAATGCATTGAAGATGAGCAAAGATGTGATTGCAGAGGTTAAAGAACTGGTGAGAGAAGGTGATGGTGCATATTGGGTAAGAAGTGAAGGGGAAGGTGAAAATGAAGTGGTTTTGTGCTTTTTGGGAACTCCATTAGTGAGAGTTTCTAGTTGGAATTGATTGAAGTTTAAGAACACAATTTTTTTTGGTAGGGGAGACAGAGATTACTTATACCTATTTCATACTGTATAGATTGATTTTTGTGTATATTCACAGAGTCAAATACAGTAATATATGGATTCATTTTGTTTGGATAAAGCTTTGTTTCACCTGAAAATTTTCAATTTTGATGAATTCTTACTTGTTAACAAATGTAACACTACAACTAGGAATAAATTAACCGAAGGTCTTTCTCATTAATTACTTTATCAATAGTTGTTGGCTTATTGCTTTCACCAAATAAACTATTTCTTTTTTTTAACACGGGATATTTAAATGTTTTAGCATTAAGAATGGATTTGGAGGGAGAGAGAGAGATAGAGAGAATTGGGTACATAGGATGCTTGGCCATTTGTTTTGGACCGTATGATATGGACTTGCATCGGATTGAAAACAGCTTGCAACCATCCATCCATACATTGGCAACCAACAAATCTACAACAATAAAAACATCTTATGCTATCTTGATTAATTGATTTTGTAAATACTGAAAAGAGCGCCTTGATTCTGTCAAATAAGAAAAAAAATTTTTTTTTTTTTTTTCCACTAAGTAGAATGTACAACAAAAGAAATAAAAATTTAAGAAACATGATGATAATCAGATTTGTATGGTTTTGATGTGATCAAATAATTTGCAACAGAAGATAAAGTGAGTCTTTGGGGACACCGGTGTGGTGCCAATTAAAGATCCTCCGATCCCGTTATTATGAGTGATTATTCAGTACTCTCGGAGTATAGACACTTGATACTCCATAAAGTTTTGATTGGTGGAGAGGCGTAAGAGTCCACAATTTATGTTGGGAATGGGGAATAACATGGGACTAAATAATTGGTGATTGACTTAGAATATGACTACATGATACTCCGAAAGTATTAAATAATTTCCCGTCATTAGTGATATCAAAAATGTTTTAGAGCTCTAATATAGGAGCTCTAATAACTCTAATGGGAATGTGGGACCCACTGATGTGATGTTTGTGCCATGCCTTGTTTTTTTTTTTTTTTTTTTGTTTGGACACATCACTAAAGCTCAAATTAAAACTTTAGATTTAGAGCTCTCTAGCATTTCCCTTAGTGATATAGATTGAGAGAGAGAGTTTAGAGTTTTTGGTGCATACTTTTACTTTTCATACAAAGTCTCCTAGAGGGTTTTTGTTTTGGCCCGTTGGTAGTGATGGCCCTTAACCTTGCTAGGCTGTGAGACTAATGTGTTGTTCTACCCAATAGTCAATTGTGTATACCACACTGCTCGAGTTATTCTCAGAATGGTGTTGTCCGAATGGATAGTGTGAGGCCCATGAAGTTACGGAAAGTCCAACTACGTGGGCCTTTTAGTGTCTGTTAATCGAGCTGGATATTAACTGGGCCCAATCTGAATATTCCAACCTCTTCTCCATTTGTTTGATGTTCTCCTCTCACATGCAAATCACGGGTCCATTTACTAAGACTGTATTTGATTTAAGGATTTGAGGAGAGATTTCAAAAAGAAAAGAGAAATAAGATAAAATATGAATAAAATATACTTACATTTTATCTAATTTCACACATCATTTGCTTTTCTCTTTTCAAATCATTCTCTAAATTCATAAATCAAACACAGTCTACGAGTAATACTACAAACCTAACTTTAACTACCCAAAATTGTTATCTTGTGGTTTACATTTATTATACACATAGACCCTACACTACATAAATTTAATCTCAACTACACAACTCACATTCGAGATAAATTCGAGATGTAAGTGGGGTTGATATCACTTTTCATTTACTAAACCCTTGTTTTCTTCTAGGGGAATGGATTAAAATGTCATATTAGGAAGATGTGTGCACCAATAAATCCTCTTTATTTTTGGTGCATTTAAAAGTCATGTTTACTTAACATTGTAACCACAAAGTCTAATTTTTTATTTTCTTAGTGGCGTTTTTATAAAAAAAAAGTGTAGCTAATTGTTACTTTTTAGCAATAGTTGAACATTTTATTACAAAAAAAAAAATCACTAATTATTAATTTTTAGCAAAATATTTAGAAAATCGTCATAGAAAAAGTCACTAATTGTCAATTTTTAGTAACAGATTTAGAAAATTGTCACAGAAAACATCACTAACATTTGTGGGATTTTTTTAATCTATACAAACACTTGTGGGATTAAATGGTGCACAGGTCCTTAATGGTGCACAGGTTCTATTACTCTTATGAAGTGTTTGATTCATTAAAATGCTATGAAATTAATAAAATGATCATTCCATCAAAATTTATTCTTATGCTTGATTGACTAAAAAAAATAATGAAAAATATATTTTATTTAATATTATAAGGGAATGATCATTGAAAAACATAGAGAATGACAATTTTATTCCATTTTATTTCATTCCACTTAACCGAATAGAACATTAGTATTTAATTGAAAATATTTTTGACCATAAATAAATTCCCTCACCCCGTAGGGGGGAAAAAAAAAAAAGCCCCATGCTACTGCCAATTTTTTTTGTTTTTAGAAACACAATGGAATGGAACTGCAGATATTTTTTGCTTTTAGAAACACAATGGAATGGAACTGGCTGGTTATTGGTCATCATTCTCAAGAAAAGAAAAGAAAAAATTGTTTTGGTAATATTGAAATTTTATTTTTAAAAAAAACTCGTTTTTAAGAAAATATTTTTATTTTGAGTTTTAAATCATAAGAAAATGAAAATGACATGAAAATATTATATTTCAAAAATTTTCATTATTTTTTTTTAAAAATAAATATTATTCCTCTCTAGTACTTTCTCCATTTCTCTATCATTTAACAGTTGATCTAATTGTCACAATTCAACACACAGTCATTATCACTAGTTGTGACAATTGGAATTGCTTGTAACTTTTGGATCAACTGTTAGATAATAAATCGATAAAGAAAATGCTAAGGAGAATCCGATTATGATGGCATAAGGTCTGTTATTGATTAGGCCTCTCAATTTTACGAAATATACTAATGAGAAAAAAAAAATTTGTTAGCACTTATGAAAAATGACCTAAATTCAAAAGCATTGCTTAACTTGTTTAGCTAAATAGACACAAACATTAGTATGCGTATTATCAAGCTTTTTGCAACCCCTATGCTATTGTAATTAACAATAGAAAAGTGTGTAAATGTTGAGTATAAAATTTTGTTAGAATTTTTTTTCAATACCATTTAATCCCCCATAGATGCAATGTTATCATTATTTTTTTAACTATTTAATAAAAACAAGTCAACATGTACCATTCATGAAATTTTTCATTATGCAATTGATTTAAATCACCATTTAAGCAATATCACTCACATGATGCTCCAACATATGTACTTGGAACAATTATTTATTCAATGGAAGAACACCCAACCAGAATTTCTTTTAGTATCATTGTTCTCTCGAGTTTCATATTGCTCAACAACCTATGCGACAAACAAAAACACAACGTCAAACATTGAATAGGTCATAGAGAATTTTCTAGGATTGTGCTTCCTTTCAGTCCGTGATCGGATTGGAGGGTACTGATAGGCTCGTGGGATTCACCATGGATTTCGTTTCAATAATTCGAACCGTTCAATATGTAGAACTCGTCGAGTGCTATGTATATGTAAAAAATCATATTGATCGAATATCAATAGCCATCTCATCCGTTCATGTTTCTGTCAGCCGTTTATTTTTTCACCATCTATTTTTTTTATACGAAACTGATTTGATCACGTAACTATTAATATCCGATCAACGTGATTTTTTACAAGCATATAATACTCGATGAGTTCTATACATTGAACGATTCAGATTATCGAAATGAGACCTGTGGTGAGCCCTTATGGCTCCAATAATATCCTCCAATCCGATCACAAACTGAAGGAAAACCAATCCCAATTTTCTAATGCATTTGGAGGTTACACATCCCTTTTAATGATAACCAAAGGAACCTTACTTGGCCAAGGGTTGTTGTCTCAAGGGTAGAATTATGTAGATTGTATTTTAATTCGTACAAGTCATTCAATTGTTAAGGATTTTTAGATCAAATCATGAATTCGAATCTTTTTGAGTAATTCTTCGTGATATTGCGATCTAAGCTCTCAAGTTCACTTTGTACATATGAGTTGCCTTAAAAAAAATAATAATAATAAATTTCATTAGCCAAAAAAAAAAAACGACTCCAATCAAATACAACACCCAGAAAAATTCATGCTTAAGTTCGCTCGTTTGTTTGTTTTGTTTTTTCTGTTTTGTTTTGTTTTGTTTTTGTTTTTGTTTCCACCCAATTGTCCGACTACAAGTTTTGATATAGAATACAACCATATACCGACAAAGTTGTTTTTGGTTTAAGGTAGGTTGGACTATCACTTCTTGGGCCACATAGTGGCATGGCGATGGTGAGTAAAAAATACAGTCAATTTTATATTTTTAATATAATTATATTTATCTTTTTTTTAATAAAATTACATAGATTGAAATTAATGTAGATAGTGAATATATAGATACTGAAATAAACAAATAATAATATAATTTTAGTAGGAAAAAAATAATAATACTATTTTTTTTGTTCATATGACAAATTAGTGATTAAAAAGGTTTTAATTTTTATGTGAATTAGATTCCTAAGGGATATCAGTGTAGTTATATTAAATTTGTAAGACTAATTATATTTTTCTAAACATCAAAGAGGGTCAATGTAATTTATCCTAATAAATAAATAAAAGCATATGAATTAATATTGTTTTGCATCGTCATCAATTTTCTCATCATTGACCAAAGAATAAACTAAAAATAATACACATTTAGTGTTTTTTTTTTAATTTTTTGATTTTTATTTTTATCAATAGTCATTTTCATTAAAGATTAGCCAAACAACACTTACAAAGACATCAACGAGAAACTTATACCAAACAAAGGAAAAATCTTAATTCAAAAAACAAAGGAAAAATCCTCAAATGAAACACCAAGGAAAAGCTATGCAT